TTTTCTTTTTTTTGATATCAGACTAGCTTTATTATTCAAGAAAAAACCCATTATTTAAATATTCACTCTGAAACTATTTTCAAAACTTATTTTCCTTTGCGAAAGAATATCTAAGAAGAAAATATGATAAAATGGCCCAGTTTATTTACTGATCAGTTTAAAATAAAGGCTAATTTGTAACATTTAGAAGCATAACTCATATAACCCTAAATATAAGAATTATATATTTCATCATAGTTTCAATATATATTCCATAAAAATATAGTGACAATATGTAGAAAAATTATTAGAAATATTTAAATAAATCATACTTTATACTCAGGAAATGTCATAGACATTGTTAGCAACAGTGTTGTGATTCCTGAGTCTAAGTCTCAGCTCTGCTCTTCCGAAACCCTGAAAATTAACACTCAGGCTCATCTTTCCCTGTAGTTTGAAATTTCCTTCAACAGTATGTGAGTAGGATTTTCGGTAGAGAAAAGAAGCCTGGCTTGTGGGAGGGGCTACTGGAGGTTCCTGTTGGGTCAGTATATAAAAGTTGGCACCTGGGTGGTTCAGTTGGTTAAGCATCAGACTCTTGATTTTGGCTCAGGTCATGATCTTATGGGCTGACAGTGGGGAGCCTGCTTAGAATTCTTTCTCTCCCTCTCTCTCTGCCCCTTCCCTGTTAGTACTTTCTCTTTCCCTCTCAAAATAAATAAATAAACATTTAAAAAAAAGTTAGGGGCTTCTGGGTGGCTCAGTCAGTTAAGTGTCCAACTCTTAATCTTGGCTCAGGTCATGATCTCTTGGTTTGTGAAACTGAATCCCTGCTTGGGATTCTCTCTCTCTGTGCCTCCTCTGCTTGTTCTCACTCTGTCTTTCTGTCTCTCAAAATAAATAAGTAAACTTTAAATTAAAAAAATATTTTAAAAATGTTGGCTATTTACACACCCATGCCACCCACAGCCATGGTGCAGAGGGGTAATGCCCACCAGCAAATATCCTTTCTGTAAGAATGCCACTAGCCAGGATCTGCCACAAAACTAGAGGACAGTCTGATGCTGAACTAGGGAAGAATGTGGTGTGATTAGAGTGGTGTGGTTTTGTTTTCAGAAGAATAGAAAAGATATCATGTATAGTAGATATATTGACCAGTTTCACTGTTTAATTCTTTGCTGCTAGATGAGGGCAGCAAGCCCATTAACTCAGGTTCAGAGAAGTGATTAATGGGGAAAAGAAAGGCTCAGACAATCCTTCAAATCATTTCACTTTGAATTGAGACTAAAGAGATCATCAGTGTCTTATGGTCATAGATATCACCCTTGGTACCATCCCAGAAATGTTTGTTGTGGTCATGGAGCCTTGAGAACACGTCTCAGTACAGCTCTTACCCACCACTAAAGCTCAAGTCCCCATGACAGTAGTCAGGTTGACTAAAATTCTAGTGTATTATTTACTAGGACGCAATTGCAGAAACTCAATTTGGGGATTAAAGTTTAACTATCTGTCTTAAAATATGTCCTTCAGCTGAAGTTGGGATGTTATGGCAGAGATGTAATGATTTCAGGAAATGGAAGGTGAAAATAAAATATCCAAAGCTAATCAGATATTTTGCAGTGACATATGCATAATAAACATCCTTTCAGATTTGTGTCTTTAGTTGGAGAAATCAAGATATTGACAGATGCACTGAGGCCAGACTCTAAAAGGTGATGACTAGAGAGATTGCTCATATTATGAGAAGTGTTGAAAGTAATGGAGACATATGTAGCTTCCTTTGAAGTTTATGGTCCTAAAATTAACATGTCTGATAATTTAAAGTAGGTGATAATTAATTCCATATGTATGTTCTCCTTGATGGCTTTTTTATAAAGTTGTTTCTGAATAGGAATAGCAGCCCATGGCCTTGGATGAATTTTATTCTCCTGTAAATCTGGGTTATATATCTAAAGCATGTTATATTTTTTAAGAAGTTAGCTAAACAGTATAGTTAACCAACCCTTGATCTCAGTGTTTAAATATGGTAACATTATGAGATTATTTTTCCTTTTGTGCATATTTCTTAGAGGCTGGCAGAGGAAGAGACCTCAACCAATACTTTGAAATTAGATAAATAAGCCATTTATTTGTGCCCATAAAATAGAAGTTTCCTCTTTATATTAATCAAAGAGGGACAGGAATTGCCAGATTTGTCATTTCACTTTATTACTTAAAAAGATTGCCCTACTTAGACTGCATCTTTTAAAAATTCAGTTCAAGGCAGACTGATTTGGCATACAACTAACTTTATTAATTATCAGCCTAAGGGTAAACTGTAAGTCCTATTTTCTATACTCACAGATTCCCAAATCACATGCCCATTTATTTCTCTATTTTGTTCTAACCACCCTACTAGCTTCCTTTTCCCCAAAATTCATATCCTAGTTTACCTTCTCCATTAAGTGTCCCAGGCTCCCTATTGTTTTTCTCCTGTTGACTTAAGTTTATTGTCATTAGTATTCTTTCATCTAAGCCAATCATTTGGTATATAGTTTTGTACTGCCATGTGCAGTCTTTTTGTTTTGCTTAATATTCATCTTATTTAGGAATATGTCACCTGGGTCAGTTACTTGGGAGAAGAGATCAAGTTCTCTCTTGTTTATTTTCCTGAAAGGAGAGAGTACTTACTCTGACAATGGCAGCTACTGCATCAAGCTTTGTGAGCTCAGTTTTGTGGGTAGAAATGAGAAGCTGAGACTTTAAAATCATAGAAAGGACAGTTTAGCATTAATCTCATTGTTGAGAGTCAGCTTTACTCATTCATTTTTTATTTATTAATTTATCAGAGTTAAGAGAGATTTAATAAATGATACCATGAATGAAAAATGATTCTATTTTTAGAGATAATATTCACGTATGAACAGGTTAACAGGAAAAATATACATATAGTGAATCTGATATTTTGATGTAGAGTGTAGTAGTACTAGATTTTGAGTCCATCTAGGTGATTGATTCGAAATATTTCAGTTTCAGGGTGAATACATCTTAGAGGCTGGTGTAAATTTGGATGAGATTTAGAGGGTAATATTAAAGTAACATGAAAGTTATAGAGTTCTCTTCTTCCTTTCCCCATGTATTTTTCTGAGTATTGTCTTATTATGGAAGCAGTCTCTGTATACCAATTTCATTCCCTTCATTTTCTTTTTTTAACACTCATTATTGATTTAATACCTTTTTAAATTTCCCCCTTTGCTTCTTGGTGTTTTTTTTTTTTCCAGTAGATTCATGCTAATCAGGATACAAATAAGGTCCACACCTTGTATTTTGTTATGTCTTTTAATTTTATGTCACAAAATGTGATTTGTCTTTGTAAATGTTCCATGCACACATGAGAAAAAATGGGTATTTTGCTATTGTTTGGTAGAATGTCCTGTCTATTAGGTCAAGATAGTTGAATGTTTTGTTTAATATCTACTGTTTTTTCACAGAATTTCTTTCTATTTGTTCTATCAATTACTAAGATATTGTTATTAAATTCTCTAACTTACAATTGTGGATTTGTCTATTTCTCCTTTCAGGTCTATCAGTTTTCATCATTTATTTGGATGCTCTGTTTTTTTGGTACATAAAAATTTAGTATTGATTCATCTTCTTGATAAATTGACCCTATTATCATTATGAAAATATTTAGCTCCCCAATAAAATAAAAAAAGCCATATTTGCTTATGACGATTCTCTTGAATATGAAAAGTGCTAATAGTAAATTAAAAAAATTTTTTTAATGTTTTATTTATTTTTTAATTAATTAATTTATTTTTTTAGATGTTTTTATTTATTTTTGAGACAGAGGGAAGCAGAGTGTGAGCAGGGGAGGGGCAGAGAGAGAGGGAGACACAGAATCTGAAGCAGGCTCCAGGCTCCGAGCTGTCAGCACAGAGCCCGACGTGGGGCTCAAGCTCAGGAACCGTGAGATCATGACCTGAGCCGAAGTCAGATGCTCAACTGACTGAGCTACCCAGGCACCCCAATGTTTTATTTATTTTTAAGACAGAGACAGAGCATGAGTGGGGATGGGGCAGAGAGAGAGAGGGAGACACAGAATCTGAAGCAGGCTCCAGGTTCCAAGCTGTCAGCACAGAGCCCCATGTAGGGCTCGAGCTCACGAACTGTGAGATCATGACCTGAGCTGAAGTCGGATGCTCAACAGACTGAGCCACCTGGACACCCCAGTAATTTATTTTTAACTTGGTTATTAAACCAATTGCCATTTTTTGGTTACCTATTTTTTCTGTTAAAGTTTTTGGTTCTTACTTGAAAGATACATTTTAATGTGGGAAATTGTGTAACTCATGTTAAGACATGAGCTTTTACGTCAAAGACCTGATTTTTGAACCCTTCCTCTGTTAAACTAGGAGTCAGCATCCTCTTCATTAAAAGGAACAAAATAATATCTACATATTGGGGATTAAGGAGGTAATCCATGTGAAGAACAGTGCTTGACATTATGAATATTAGCTATCATTATGTGGCATTATTATTATTAGAGATGCTCCTATCCTTTATACTGTAATCAAATAGTTTTTTATGTCTCTAATTATAGATTATATCTAACTTTGTTTAGTTAGATCATATAATCAATGTTCTTTTTAGGACTGTATAATTCAGATTTCATGAATTCTGATTAGTTCTTGCTTTATTCCTTACCAAAAATGCTAGCTAAACAATTTTTATCTTTATTAAAATAAATATCCTTAATTGATTAGTTATCTTGTAATCACTATGTTTTGATTTATAAGAAAACTAAGGAGAAATATGGAAAATGTAAAAATAATGTTTATTTTTATATAAAATTGATATGTTTATTGCAAAAAATTTGGGAAATACTGAAAATATTAAAACAAAATTAAATCTTCTGTAAGGTCACTCTAAAATGCAACAAATGTTAGAATTTTTGTGAAATTTCTTGCAGTCAAAATGTCCATCATTCTAAAAGTTCTTTTTTCTTGATTTAGGAAATGTGTTTTTCTCTCTTGTTCCAGGGATGTTCTTGGTCGGTTATATTTGTGGATCTTGATGCTCACAATCGCAATAGGCAAACTTTGTGTTCACTGTTACCCAGAGAATCAAGATCTCATGTGAGATATTATTATTTTTTCTAAACGTTTATTTATTTATTTTGAGGGGGGAGGGGCAGAGAGAGAGGGAAAGAGAGAGAATCCCGAGCAGGCTCCATGCTCAGTGAGAAGCTTGATGCATGGCTTGATCTCATGATTGTGAGATCATGACCTGAGCTGATATCAGGAGTTGGTTGCTTAACCAACTGAGTCACCCAAGCCCCGTAAGATATTGTCATCATAAATTAACATGAACTACCATTTATGATTGCTTCCCCCAAGAAAATGCTTAAAATGTTAGAGGTTGCGAGAGGAAGTGAGGAGATTAAATGTTGCCCCTCACTCTGCTGTCCTGTGGAAGTTTAGTTTAGGAAGTGAACAGAGCTGTGGACAAAGCTATTTTGTCCTTGAGTCTTTGTAGAACTATAGAAAACTAGACCTATTTTGGAGGGGGAGGAGGAGAGGGTAGCAACATTATATCCAAATGAATTTTTTGGTCATAGAATATTAGAAAAATGTTTTTCATGATTTATATTTCTTTTGAATAAAATTACCTGCTTTGTTTCTTTTCAATCATGTGATTCATCTTTAAACTTTTATATGCCTATAGTACCTGATTATAGATTTTTCTAGGGTTTTTTTGGCTCTGTTCTTAGAAAACCTCCCAAATAAAATAATTTAATTATGTAAAAAGAACTATTTCATAGAAGTAATATAAGATTATGATAAAAAAAAAAGAACCCACAAATAAAAATATAATAATGTGACATCCACTCATTTTACCACTTAGTTATATTTTTAGGGTGACAACATTTGGGTCTGTATGTTTGCACATAGTTTTATGTACATATGTAATATTTTTATTTTATAAAACTGGAAGAATATTATTTCTAATGCTTGATAACCTAGTTCTATGAATGGGCATATTTCCACATCTATAAACATTTCTACAATATAAATTTTAATGACTGCTAATTTACTCAGCTAATTGTGGGACATTCAGATTGTTTTCTGTTTTCACCATTATAAACCAATGTTATGACAGACTAAGTTTAATTACTAATTATCGGTGTTAAATTTTTACACACTTCCTTAGAGTTTGAGTCCAGTCAAATCTTGAAAATACTCCTTGTTAATGGATAAATTTTTATCTTTATTTATCTTTATCCTTATTAATGGATAAATTATCTGTAAGGTTTGCTAATTCATGTCCTCATTGTCAGTTATGTAACCTGATTGACTTTTTCATCTCCCTGATTCTCACTGGGCTGTGTTGATCATATCATTGCAGGCACTTACATTACCTTCTTTTTCCTGTTGCCCCCAGAACACAGATGCTGCCCTACTACCTTGCATCAGTTATCCTGCATTTGCCCTGGATGATGAAGCTTTGTTTAGCCAGACACTTGATAAAATAGTTAGAAAATTAAAAGGAAAATATGGATTTAAGCGTTTCTTGAGAGATGGTTATAGAACATCATTGGAAGATCCCAACCGACGCTACTACAAACCAGCTGAAATTAAGGTATCAAAAAATATTTCATACCATAACAGAGTGGTCAAAAGCACTGATTCAGGAAACAGGCTTCTTAGGTTTGAATTCTGGCTCTGCCACTTACTAGCTATCTGGCCTTGGGCAAGTTAATCAACCTCTGTGTGTTTAATACTTTTCATTGGTAAAATAATCATACTATTATTGAAGTTCTTATGAGGATTAAATGAGTTAACATATATCTAAAAGTGCTTCAAATGGTTCTTGACACAGAGTAAGCACTCAGTAAGTGTTAGCCTTATTAGTAGTAAGGCCCATTTGCTAATATTGAGCCATGTTGATTCACTGGATGAATAATTTTTCTAACTGCACTTTCAGTACTTTGCCTGCCTGCTCCATATTGTTTGCCTTATATAATAGGAAATATCTATTTGTGATTCAGCTTTCAGTCTTTTAAACAAATGCTCTTTTTTTCTGTTTCACTTAGACATTTCCCTTTGAAATATAGTCTTCTTAATATTTAGTTTTAAAGCAGTTATTTCAAGTGCACATACATACCACTTTATCTAGGTTTACTGTAGCTATTTTTAAGCTGTCCAGAAAATTCTAACACCCCAAAGAAAGGGTAAGCATCCATCCCCATTACTAAAGACTTCCCTTTAGTGGTATATGTGCTGCCGAAGGGAGCACTTCCCTTTGGTGGTGTAGACTGAAAACTATTTTTGTAAGCATGGTCCTAACTTTGAAGATAGGTAAGGAAGATCCCATGGATCTGTATATAGAAAATGTCTTGGCAACATTGTACCTTGTAATTTGTTAGGCAATTAAGTGCCACTCTTTAATATTTAATACATAGTTTTGCTGGACAACTAGACAGGCTATTTATCATTTTACTTAATTTCACAATTATCTAGAAGCAGTAGGAGCCATTTTATTGTGTACATATTTGAAACTTTATAGCAGTCTACTAGGTTGGGTCACAAGATCCATTTATCTCTTAAGCACTTTCAGATATCTCTTCTCTATTTAATAACATTTCTGAGCTGATTTACAGCACTTACATTTGAATTGGACTTGCTGTAACTACTACCCTGAATATTGTCAAATTTGGGTCAGTAGAGCAGAGTTTCCTTATTTCTGTACCTGCTGCTGAGCACCACCACGGAAAGCCACAGCACCGTGGACAGATGCCACCCCAGATTCAGAACACCCATCTTGGTTCAGTCCTCATCATTGATTTCACTCCTTGTCAGTACTGCTGTGTGACTCTGCTAGGAACTCCCCTTACAAGCTTTTCCAGCTTTTTTTTTTTTCTATTTGTGTTCAAGTTCTCAAACTTTACTTCTTACTCCATAGCCTTTCATTTCTTTTTTTCTCTGTTTTTTCATTTTTAAAAAAAAATTCTTAAATTTGTTTATTTTTGAGAGAGAGAGAGAGAGACAGAATGCGAGCGGGGGAAGGGCAGAGAGAGGGAGACACAGAATCCAAAACAGACTCTAGGCTTTGAGCTGTCACCACAGAGCCTGACGCAAGGCTCAAACTCACCCACCGCAAGATCATGACCTGAGCCAAAGTCAGGCGCTTAACCGACTGAGCCACCTGTTTTTTTAATGCCTATTTATTTTTGAGACACACACACACACACACACACACACACACACACACACACCGCGATGGGGGAGGGGCAGAGAGAGTGGGAGACACAGAATCCAAAGCAGGCTCCAGGCTCTACGGGGGTCAGCACAGAGCCCTACATGGGGCTCAAACCAACCAGCAGCGAGATCATGACCTTTGCCAAAGTCAGATGCTCAACTGACTACCACCCAGGCACCCCATAGCCTTTCATTTCTGTTTGACATCCTCTATTCCATCTGTCCTTCATCCATACCTACCTTCATCTCTCTTGTCTCACAGAAGGTGCTGTCGGTTCTTTATCCTACGGCTAACCCTCCACATGTACACCTTAACCTGTTCTCTTTTACTTCCTTGGGTCTCTTACTCTGTCATTTGTTTTCTTCTCTGGTAGAAGGATGTCTGTCTCTATCTTTTTCTTTTTATCCTCCTCATCTTCCTCACTTTCCCTTTCCTTCGTCTTGCTTTCCCCCCAACTCCAATCAGCTTCTTTTCCTCAGCATAAACACAGTGATGTTCATAATTAGAAGAAAAAAAACCCAAAAAACCTTACTCCTCTCTGCCTCCAATCCTCTCTGTCTCTTTGTAGCCACAGTTTTGAAATGCATAGTCTATTCTTGGTGTGTCTCCTTGTTTGCCTCCTATTCACTCCTTCATGTTACACTCCAGCTCTTCTTCAGCATTTACCAGTAGCTGTGTTGGTTTCAGTTATTTTAGGTCACTCGTGGTAGTGGATGATTTTCACTGAACCTCTCCTTGACATTTGAAAGCTTTAATGGAGACCTCTTTCTTGGAACTTTCTTCATTTTCTATGATCCTATTCTCTTCCTAATTCTCTTTTGTCATTGTCTTTCTTAGTTCCTTTTCAGATTCTTCTTCTGCCGCCTCCTAAACATTGCTCTTCTCCTGAGTTCCATCCTTACTTAGTCCTATTCTCTTTTCACGCAATCATAGCTTCAGCGATCACTCTTAACTCCAGATCTCTATCCCTAACCTATACTTCTCCCTCTTAGTGCCCTACTGTGTATCCAACTGCCTCCTTCTGGATATCCTTAATTACTTTACTTGCCAGGCCCTTTCTAATCTGGCTAGCCTGGTCCCCCCCACCTCTTGGGTATTAGCTTTCATGATTTCTTTCTTGTTTGTTCCAGAAATACTGACTTGCTGGTAGTCTAACAAACTTTGTCTTCTTATACATCTGTAGTTTGTAGTATTGTTTTCTCTGCATGGAGTTCCCTTAGTTCATCTCCCCAGAGAAATCCATCAAGCATTAATTGAAGCATCTCCTTTCTTATAAACCCTTCCAACCCTAGGCAGATTCAGGTGTTTCATTTCCTGTGTTCCTGATGTAACATGTGTAGACATCTCATATGATACTACAGTTGTTTATTGACATGCCTGACTCCCCACTAGGCTGTGAGCCCTTGAGGGCAAGTTCCCTCTTTTTTGGCCTTCATAGCCCCCTTTCTAGTTGGTGCCAGGCATTACAAAGGACTTAGTAAATATTTATTGAATGAATGATTAGTATGTGATGTATTAAATGAATATGGTTTTGAATAATAAGAGTTCTAAGAATTCTTTTTAAAAGAACAATGAAGCTACTTATATCAGTCCAGTTTTGTTATTACTATATAAATCATCTATGTATACCCTAACTACAATTGTTCAATATATATAATTAATATATTTGTTCTAATTATCATCATTGTTATAATTGTTCTAATTAATTTTAGTGAAATTTTTAATATTTTGTCTTCTGTTTTAGCTCTTTGATGGCATTGAATGTGAATTTCCCATATTTTTCCTTTACATGATGATTGATGGTAAGTGCGCTTTTTTCCTGAAATTTAAGATATAGAATATAAGTGGCTTAAAGAAAAGCAGATGAAATATGACCCTTTCAGCTAGTAAAATAGACTATACCTCAGTGATGTTAACTGCTCTGCATTTTTATATGCTATTCTTCTGCTTTCTGAGTGAATATTAAATCATTTAAAGAACTAAAAAATATACTTTGGAGTTATTAAGAAATGATACAAATATATTTTCCTATTTGCAAAGAAAAATTTTTTATGAATAGTAATAATGAATATTATAATCTGTGACATTGTGAATATCTATAACATTTATACTTAAAAATAGACAAATTTCAATTAAAATTCAATTTTCACTTCTAAATGCTAACATGACCTTCTAAAATCAATTTCCTGGAATACTGTGATACATATTTGCATTACCTTTTTTCAATTTTATTTTTATCATTTACATACAAAATTACCAAAATAATCATAACTGGAATTTTTTTTAAGGTAAAATTTCTATGGTGCTTATCCTCAGATGCTATTGGATTAATATTTTACATTTTAGGAGTTTTTAGAGGCAATCCCAAACAAGTAAAGGAATATCAGGATCTTTTGACTCCAGTACTTCATCAGACCACAGAAGGTATAGTTGGATTGTTTTTTAAGAAATTCTTCCTGCTGATATTTCCTTAATGTTCCTTTGTAATGCATTAAATGATGCCATTTTAAATAAAGCTATTTATATTAAAGTGAAAAAATGAATGGAGCCTTGAATGAATTATAAAGAATAATCTATTCATTAGTTATTATAAGTTTGTCTTTATAAAAGGAGTTCATTGGGCAAGACAGGGACGGGGAGTAAATTTAGGTGGTTATGGCCATAATCGTTGCAAAATAGTTTGCCAGATGGGCAGTGGTTCTTATTCTGATTACCTACTGTGAAAACTCCTTCACTCTGTGTAGTGTGACAATAATATAGAGTGACCGATTTTTGTCCAGATCATCAGAAATGCTGTGTTCAGGTAAATGCTACCCCTTCCAGAGGGCTACCTTAAGAGGCTCTGCCCTAGCCTAAAGGTACTACCATTTCCAAAAACCTTCAGCCTCCTCTTTGGAGTTGTTTCTTTGATCTTTAGCATGTTATTTTAAATGTCTGCCTTGTGCTAATGCCTCATCCTTTGAGGATAGATTTAATATTTTAGAAATGGCTTAAAGACTCTTAGGAGTCTTTAGTTGGTTTTAGTTAAACACCAGTAGGGCCCATAGTCAGTATGACTAAAAAACTAATTCTCAAAGAATTCCAAAGAAGAAGCTCCAAATACTTCGGGGTTTGGAAGTATTAATAAAATAAGAATATGTACTAAATAAATAAATAAATAAATAAATAAATAATATATATGTGAACAGCTTTGAAAACATATTTATCTGAAAATTTAAAAAATTATGTGTGGGTAAAAAGTGAGTGGTCTTATGGACATGGTGTACAAACTTGCAATTATAGCATTGGGCCCGTTCTTACCTCACACGAAGTTTGTGATATTCTTTACAGTTTTCCACAAGTACCTTAGAACAAAAACTTCACAGTATGTGCTCACCTTTGAAAATTCTTGTAATGTTAAAATGGTGAAATATTTGTGGATAAACATTGAATTCCAAATAAATATTAAATTTTAAAACCAGTTACTTATATCTTTATGCTACAAATAGTAATTTGTCCAATGTGAGATATAATGTAATGCATGTTATAATGAATATACTATTTGAAATCCCTTGAATCAGATTGTTAGTATTCAGTGGTACATTATTGACGCATTGAGGTGGTAGTTCAGTGTACAGCAGTTCAGTCTTTATCATGTTCAGAGAGTGATTTTCAAACTATTCTTTGTGTATCATAGACCTTTTTACTGGTTTTCGATACAAATATAACTATTGATGGATGTATGAAGGAAGCAAATTTTAGAGAAATGTGTACAATTTTATTAGGAAAATTAAGTGTACTGTGGGCTGATAGTGCAAAGTCTTCTGTAGCATTGTATTAGAATGTTATTGTTATTTTTTTTTCCTTTTATGTCATCCACAAAGATTTTAGTCTTTGAATAATAAATTTTAGTTTCTATCAAGGAATGTTTTTAAATGGGTCGGTCAAGGAGAGAATGGATTTTTTTTTCCCTTCAATGATATTGAATGGTAGATAATGGACTTAATGTTTAAAATGGGGATTCCTTTGCTTTAAGCAATGGCTCAGGGTTATAATTCTTCATTTGGGATTACACAGTATCTCATTTGTAATGCTTCTACAGACTAATCCTATTAAAGATAGCTTCTATGGCTCTAAATGTTTGCCTACTGTATTTTTATCAATTCATTTAAAGGTGTTAAAATTAAATGTTGTTAAAGGAGATTATGTACACATTATTGGCTAAAGCATAACATATGCTGTCAAATTAGTCTTTTAAAATCAAGGAGCTTTATCCACATTTTTCACTGGCAATTTCTGAAAGCCAAAATAACCAATTTTCTATAGCTTATCAAATCTGTTACCCCCTTTACACCCTATTTCTCTGCTTTCTAACATTGCAATTTCTTGAAGGGAAAATTTGAGGAGGACACTGATTTTTATATTTCAAATATTTATTTTAAAACTCCACAGGTTATCCTGTCATACCAAAGTACTATTATGTGCCAGCAGATTTTGTAGAATATGAGAAAAGAAACCCTGGTAGTCAAAAGCGATTTCCTAGCAACTGTGGCCGTGACGGAAAACTCTTTCTTTGGGGACAAGCCCTTTATATCATTGCAAAACTTCTGGGTAAGTGGAGAAGGTTGGGAAGATTTTTTCCCTTGTAATCAAGCTATTAGAAATAAGTATGTTTCAGGGTACCTGGGTGCTTCAGTTGGGTAAGCATCCAACTCTTGATTTTGGCTCAGGTCATGATCTCATAGTTTGTGAGATTGACCTCCATGTTGGGCTACATAATAGTGCCTGCTTGAGATTTTTTTCTCCCTCTCTCTCTGCCCTTCCCCCCTCAAAATAAATAAATAAACATTTATTTTTATTTTTTTAATGTTTTTATGTTTTATTTCCCATTTATGGGAACTTTGAGTTACTTTTATATAATGTAAAAAAAATTCTGATTTTATGCTTGGTCATAGCTTTAGTAAATCACTTGCCAAAAGGAATTGGTTATCTCAAAGTCCTCTTCCTTCTCATAAATACACATTGACAATTTACTCAGTTAGCTTAGACCATTATTCATAGTTTTTTAAGAATTATTTTCCAGCTTATCCTAAAACTTCTGCTAAATATGAGTACTCTTTGGACACATTGAGATGAAGGCTAATTTAAAGAACACACACAAAAAAGCATTATTATGCATCTTCCTGCATCATTGCTTGCTAACATTTCGAATATTATTAGCATTCCCATCAAAAAGGCTATCATGTTAGAGTCAGAATTCCTTTATGGCAAATAAATTATGAAACAGGCTGATTGTAAATAGTATATATACCTGCACTAAAAGAACTGCTTAGTGTGTGAAGTAGTGTTATTGTCTTTATTGTTCCTAGTATTATTCTATAAATGCTAAATTTGTGTTGTAAGAGTAATTATCTTTGGTTTCTTTTTTTACATTCCATTAGGGAAGAATATTTCAGATTTCCAATTCAAACTTTACACAAATGATATATAAGGAGCAGATAGAAGCTAACCAAAGAAGAGAAAATCAAGTTAATGCTGTTTTCAATTTGCTTGTTTCCTAACTATATATTCTGGGTCTCCATATATACTTAATGCTAATTTAAGAACCTGTAGAAAAATTTACTTCTTTAAGGGGACAACTTTTTGATAAGGAGTTGATATTATTTATACAGGTCTTGCTTTTCGATTTTTTCAAAAGAAAATATATATATACATGAAATAGATTTCTTAAAATCAAGCCAAGTTGGCAAGGTTATCTCTGGTTAGAATGTTATTTCCATCTCACTAGCATGAATACAAAGAAGCCTTCTGGTGATACTCACAGCTAAATAAAACATGTTATAGTAGAGAAGTAGTTAACCTATCTAAGATAAAGAATTTTAATATTAGAATCATAAATTTCTATATACTACAGCTTGGAAATTACAGATGAGCATGATGAAATTTTTCAGATTCTGAGGTTGAAAACTGGAACTTGGGGTATTGGATTTGAGATCTAAACGTTTATCGTCCTGATTTTTGCTCTATATCTGGTCTGGGATTGAGTGCTAGAAAGAATGCTATTTGAGAAAAGCCTGTAGATAAAATTGAGAAGGCTGATGAATTGGGAGTGCAGAATTGACTATATTCTACATAAGCAAATTGGGCTTTTAAAAAGGAAAAGGTTGAAAGTAGTATCAATCAGTAAAAAAGCATTAGATCTCCCTTACTTTGAAATAAATGTATTGAATGTAGACAGATTTTGAGTGTAGATAGCATTTTCTTATGTTAAGACCAGTGTGAACAGAAATAGTTTAGGCCATGCCTTCTCATCTCTGTTTCATGACCAAAAGGAAGAAAAACTTCAAAGAAATAGTCAATTTCTCTTTTCCCTGCTGAGCTACTAAAAAGGCAGCAGAGAACATACAGAAGGTGTGTTGCAAACCCTGAGATCACATACTTTCTCTCCCACTGAAAAAAGGAGATGCTCCGTGTTCATTATCACTCTGACCTAGCTGTGTGTCATCTGGTTAACAAACTCACTGGTTAAGAAGAATAATATCTCAGAAGATTCAGTCATGTAGTTGCTCTTAACTATTATATCCTTGCCTCAAGAACATCAAACTTCTATGGATGTTATTAAGATTCCAGTCACCACATTTACTTACAAAGTCTTATGTATTCATTAAATGAGGTTTGGTTAGATATCTGCTTGACAGCATTTTGTGGGCAGTTAATTGGAGTTACTTGAAAATAATAGAACAGTAAATCTTTGAAAATATTCTATAATATATGCCTTCCACTAATTCAGGCCAGTTTGTATCCAGTGAAATCTAATAAGAATATTTTGCTTTTGTGTATGTGTGTATAATAAATATATATATATATATATATATATATATATATATATATGAAGAATGAATGAATGAATATATATATAATGAATACATATGTGTGTGTGTATATAATGAATATATATATCTACATATCTACATATATATATTTATATATATATGAAGAAAATGTTGTGATGCTAGTTGCTACTTCATCATTGATCTTTTCCATGATTTAGCTGGTATTTGTAGAGGACTACTGTATGTTAGTCACTGATATCCAGTAGCTCTATAGCAAGAATCAAATGTGACAACCTAGGAAATATTTCTGTCTCTCTGAGGGCAGCCTAATTACTCTGATATACTATTTCCTAATTACAGTGTTTGTAACTAAGGTAAGTCCACTTGCATTTGATTTCATTCATGGTATTTTTTTTGTCCAATTGACATCAGATGTAAAAGCCACTGATTAAGTCTGGAAATCTAATGCTTTTTTAAAGTTAAAGTTAGTGATCAAGTGCCCCCTAGTGTGCATGAGGACATAAGAAAAGGAGGTCTTGATTTTCATTGGTCTCTTGACTTCAAATGCAGTTGGCTCCTTACTCAATATAGCACATGGTTTTGTTACTGATCAGTTAAAGATAAAACGAACAGATAAGAGTATACAGATATATTTCTACATTGTGGTTGCTAAGAGATTTCCCAGCTGTTACACTTCAGGAAACTTTAAGCAGTAAGACATGGATTTCTGAGCACTTTTGTTATCTTTTTCATGCTATCTGTGTGATTGCTAGTGCCCTAATGTGGGATTTCTGTGCAGCATGCATTAAAAACATCTTCAGAGTACGTGTAATACAGTATTACTTTAATAGCTTCACCCAAGGAAATTTTCTTCCTGTAGCTTATTGTATAAATCTCTAGTTTTCTTAAAACTAAAATTTTTAGTTTAATTGCTACTAGAGCTAGAAAACTTGTATAAAAATTTATGATCCTACCCTTAAATATATTAGTAAATTAGTATATATTAGTAAAATTGAATGTAAATATATTAGTAAATTGAATGTAAAATATATTAGTAAATATATATACTAATATATATTAGTAAAATTGAATGTAAAAGCAGTGATGCCTAGAGTCTGAGAAGACTACATATATACTGTCAGACTGTTTCCCAGAAATACTAATAATACTTGCCTTAAAATGTGTCTGGTTCTGTGCTCTGCCCTTTACAAGTATTATCCTGACTATTATTACAAGTATTATTCCTAGCTTCTCTATGAGATGGATACTGTATGTCATAACTGAGGTTTAGAAGAGTTTAGCAACTCACCCAAGGTCACATAGCCCACAACTGGGACTTTACTGACTTACTTGCAGGATGATTGTGTCACCTGTAACCTTTATGGCACTAAATATGATCATTAAAAATAAAAACCTTGCTAATTTAATATTAATTTGTATACTGTTTTCATTTACATGCTTATTGTTAAAGACATATTTCTTAGTCATTTCTTGTCCTCTGTGAATTGTCCAGTTTGCTTTGCCTGTTTAACCTTAATTTTATGGTCTTCACAGTCTGCATGAATGTTTTACGTATTAGGTATACTAATCCTCTCTGGTATTTTCCTAGGTTGTTTGCCAATTAACTTTGCACTGTTTCTTGATGAACGAAATTTGAAATCTTTATATAATTAGATCTATCATTGTTTTTCAATTTAATTCTGACCATGGAATTTAACACTTAATTTTAGGAAGTCTATCCCTGTTAGTTAATTGAGTTAAAAACATTGGTAATTTTGGAATTTTTTTGGTATAACATATGAGGTTGAGGATCTACATTTTCTTTTTCTCTCTAGCTTATTTCTTAATACATGTGTTACTAATATGTGTCACTGCAGCTGAGAATCAGTCTTTGAAGCACATAATTTTACCCCATAAATTATCTGCTGAGCCTATTTTAGTGTGTCCTATGTAATTTTTGTGTCATGATAAAAAAAAATTACTTGCTCTGTTAAATTTCCTTTGAATTGTCATTTTATTAAAGAAACAAAAATTCTTCTTGATATTCTCTTTTTGCCCTTAATAATGATTGTTTGAAGTAAACCCAAGGTGTATTTCATAAAATTTCTGTGCATAAAAAATACAAATATTAATGAAGCTAATCTGTCTTATAAAGATTTAAAGATGGCTGTCCCTATTTATAGAAATGCTTGGTTATCTGTGAGGTTTCGTACTGTAATGAAATGTAGAAAGCCATTGCTCTTTTATCCTTGTTCTCTTATTTTCATTTTAAATATTCTGTAGTTGGTCAGGCACAAGTGCTTTCAGGCTTGTCCTTTTTCACCAAAAAGCCAGTGCCATAGAATCAGCACGGTGAGGAACTCTTGTTTTGCCTCCTGAATGATAAAAAGCAATGCAGTAAAAAAAAATATGTCTATTAACCTGACCTTTGTAAGGCGTTAGTCACTTTTACCATTATGGAAATTAAAACAATGATTACAGCAATTATGTTTCTGAATTTGTTAATCCACCAATTTATTATTTTGTTTAATAAGTCTCTTAAGTGCCTACTATATGGAAGGTGCTGTGCTGGAAAGTGGGGTATATCCATGAATAAGAAGCATACAACCTGTGGGGTTATAGATGAGCACATAGTGTAAATTGGAACATTAAGCTAGATACAGGGGTACAGTACAAATAGAGAAATGAGAAAGGAATGCCAAGAAATAAGCTTTTTCAAGAGATGTTGTTAACTATTTGATTCATATCAATTTTAATAGATTAGCATTTATGCCTCCC